GGGGGGGGGGCGGGCTGGATATGTGAAGCGCTTGAAAAATACCGTGATAAGCGACACGGGTGTTCTGGGATGGATTATGCTTTGAAAAACAGACTAGATCCGATTTGTGTGTTACTGCTTTGCACATCCGCTCGGGAAGAGGTGGTGATGGTGTAATTGCTGGTGGTATGCATGCCGCTGTAGTTCGTGAACACCTGTTTCTGAAAATGACTTAATGCAAACACTTGAAATGCCCTGAAACATGTTACTTAACAGGTTCTTCAAAAGAAACGTGTTAGACTGCGTTCTTGATTTATAATTACAGCTTTCAAATATGTTTTATTGGTAATAACTTATAACATGTAAATGTTTTTATTGTAATGCTCTTCATTCTCAGAAACTAGAGAGAGATACTTGTGGTCTGTCTTCTAGTTCAGAAAAGTGAGAGAAATCTCTATATTTTTTTTATGCATTGTAGCGTATTGTACCTTTATTCAATATTTTTAGTGGTTTGTTGCATGTGTTTTCTGATTTTGAGAACCCGTTTCTAAATATGTTCTTTGTATAATTGTGACACATAAATTGTACTCAACTCTTAAAAAAAACCCGACTTTTTTTTCAGGACTTAGTGCTATGGAGAAGAAGCTGGCTGAATACAAGTGTAACACAAATGAAGCAATTCAGCTGAAACTAGGTAATGTCACTCTTTAAATATTTCGTATTTGATACTGGAATATTTTTAGTACTTTCTTAAACTTCCTTATAGTTAAATTCATGCAGGTTTTAATATGTACTTACTGATGTAAATATACAAAGGCAAGAACAGGAATATGTGTCTAGTTTTTGCTGAGATTACTACAATTAAAGCACAGCTATAGAAATTCAGTCCCGTCTCTGCATAATAGTGTCAATAGCAATTTAGTAGCATGTTACCAGAGTGCATTGGAATGGCATCTTATCTTATTTTTTTTAAGTATTCTAGTTCCCTGTTTCTTCTCTAATCCTTATGCTGTGATGCAGGCCTAAGTATGAGTCGTCTTCATGGAGACCCTAACAACAGAACTCATTTCTTTAGGGTTACAAATATCTAATTGCATATTTTTAAACATCTTTCCCTTTATTCTTTCTTTGAAGGAAAAAAAAAATAAAAGCAAGAACGAAGACTGAAAACTGTTGCTGGGTTGGGTTTTTTGCTGCCCTTCTCCACCCACATCTGGATTACACATGACACTTTTAATGAGAATTGTTTAAAATTTGAATAGAAGAAAAGTCACTCTTTCGAGAGCTATTTATTGCTCTCTGTAGCTAATTTGCTTGTTTAGGCACCCAGAATACAGATGGAATTACTGAACTCTTGGTGGGCTTGCTTATATCTCAAATTTACATGCAACAGTAAAAACTTGAAGAATAAGGCACACCTATCTAATTTTTAATCTTTACAGCTCTTTAGCGATTTGTTCCCTTGATTAGTACAAATATATTAGTTTATTAAGAAAATAAAAGTAATGAACCTGTTAAGCACTTTTCAGAACTACTACTAGCAGTCTGTTCTGTGTAGTTTAATACACAATCACCTTTGGCTTGTGAGCCAAATTGTCATTGTAGCCAAAATGCTGAAGTCTTTAAGCCACTGTAATTGTGAAGTATTTCTCTTCCTCTTAAACATTATTTTAAATAATGGTTTTGTGACTGAATCTAATGTTTTATTTTTCTCTTCCACCTTTCTAAAACCAAAGGAAAGAATGAGAGATAATGATATCTGAGTGAATTTTGTGTAACAATCTGAGGAGCTACTGTATTGGATGTCAGGGAGACTGCTAGAGGGTTTTTAATTAAGGCACTCGTTGCCCATCTTGGCTAGTATTTTTAGCCTCCTTTTTTTCTTTCAGAGTGTAGGTGTTCCACATACAAAGTACATTAAGAGAAAAGATGAGAAGCTGCAAAGTGGAACCATTAAAAAAAACACACGTATTTCCCATGTGCATATAGAAGCAGTCATGCACTGTGCTCTGCAGGGTCCTAATTTCTTCCATGGTGACAATTCAGAATCACTCTTTGTTTTTTGTTTTGTTTCTTTTTTTGTTGGTTGTGTTTTTTTAACATTACTACTTTGCCTCAAACCAGTTGCTCTTTGAATTAAACCTGAGAGGACAAGAGCAACCATTCTCTTGCTTTTGAGAAGGCCAAACTTTTATCTTGTCACTGGAACACTCCTCATTTTCATTTTTCTCTTCGAGTAATTAATTTCTAATATTATCAGAAAACCTTTTTTTTTCTTCATCTCTGCTTTACTGGAGTAAAGCTGCAATGGAGCTGTAGGTCAATATTCAACATGCTTTAAAAAAAAGCTTTAATAGCAGTATTAACTCCTACAACATCGAATGCTAATGCAATATTAACTCATTCAGCATTAAAAATTTGTAACGCTTGTCTTGAGCTACCTGTGCCTCGTTAATGTGGCTGAACTATCACTTTAATGCCAAAGTTAGAGTTATATCCCTTCCAATTTTAAGTAATTTTTTAAACTGCAAATGCACAGAGGGATGTTTGGGA